TATATATATATATAAACAAGTTAGTCATTCAAATTTATGGTGGTTTTTCAAACCGATGTAAGCTGCGTGGGTTTTTGTCACAATGTGCAAGTATGCACAGAATACAAGTGTGCCCTTCTCCATCTCTGTATTTTATCCAGTGTACTGTACATCTTTTCCTTACAAAGCGGCCATCAAATAGCCACAAAATGCATACCTGTTTTTAAGGCCAATATACATTGACCCTGTGGAAGAACCTAATTGGAAGAAACGTTTTGTTTAACAGGTGCCTCTGCTGACCACACATTGGTTCCATTTTGGGGCCTCGTCTCTTCAGCCAAGATTTTATTGCTGTTTGTGACCCTACCGGGGAGATTAGCCCTCTCTGTTTGTCCAGGTAGATATTGTCAATGAAATAGGAAATGGTGGGAAATTCAACAGTTTTCCCCTGAACAGGAATAGAAACCTTGCAGTGGGGACACTTCCTCTGGGAACAACTGTCTAATCGGAGAATTCTGCTCACTTTGTAGAGATTTATTCTTATTTCTTGTTCTGTCTCCAGGACATGATGGAAAATGTCTTCAATGGGACACAGACAACAAAAAACAAATTGATCAAGGATTTTGACTTTCCTACTCTATCCAAAACGGACAAATGGGGTATACATACACTTTCAGTAATATTTTTGTGAATGTGTTGCAAAGTCACTTCCTGTTGCATGTGGACAATGTTAAGTCACTGCTTAGGCTTGGGAAATAAAGGTTTTCACTTTAAATCAGTTTCAATTGAAATTGGGAATGTTCATCTTTTTCTGTTCCCAGATCCATCTATTTCTAAACACAATAATATTAAAGCTTTACTTATCACTGAAGGACTTCAGCCTTCTTATGTTGGAAAGTTTTCTAAAGCAAGCTTTAATATTGAAAAATGTCAGATAGAATGATATTGGCGAGCTCAACCTACCTTGTTGATTGACTAAGGTCTGAGTGCATGTTAACCCAACAGAATTGTTTGCACAGCTGCAGATGATAAATGATCCCCTGTCACTGTGCAGAATCAGGGAGCTAGTAGATTCCCAGGCCTTTGCGGATCTGTATGGTGATCCATATGTAATCCCCTCTGTGATCACTTCTGTGCAGCTTTAAAAAAAATATAACCACATTAACAAAAGGTTAAAGCTGAACTTCAGGCAGATATAAAATACATAAATCAATGCTGCTTTGTATTTATGAATGCATCCTTAAAAAAAAAACAACAATATCTACAGTGTATATATATATATTTTTTTTATATTGCAAACAGTGTAAGTACCTAAACTTGACTTTGAATAAGTCATAAGACTCTTGCAGTCCATGCACAGCAGAGCTCAGACTGGGGGAGGGAGAAGCAGCACAAGGAGTCAATAAGTTGTGTTGCAATACAAGGAACAAGTTGATAGGGGGCAAGAGCAGAGTGACAGAGAGTTCAGTTGCTGCTTTTCCTTTAACTGTCCATTCACAGGGTGGGGGAGGGACAAGACCTGTAAGTGATGCTGAAGACCCACAGAAAAAAAGGTATCCTGTTCTGCCAGACAGGGATTGTTGTGTGGCAGAGCTGTGCAAATCTCGGAAATGGATGGACAGAAATACAAATGCTTTGGCAGGTAAAACACCTACCTTACATGTAAAAAATGTTTTCCTAGGGTTCAGCTTCAAATAATAAATTAAATGTGGAACTTATGGTGAAAAAGGAATCTTGAGCCTATGATGAGTCAGCATGCCAGCACAATGGCTCAGTGGTCAGCATGTCTTCCTTCCAGGACTAGGGTCCCTGGATTGAATCCAGTTTCAACCAGGACACATATATAATTAAAAATCTATTCAGCTGAAAATGCACTTAAAATAACACTAAACTCAGGAGTTAAATCTTAAAAATACAAGTACCTTAACTATTAACAATAATGTATCACATGCTTTCAAGAAAATTAAGCTTACAGATGTTTGGACTTGCTTTTGAGCTGCTTTGACCTTTACTTTTAACATATATAAGATGAAAAAATAAACACATGCCATTGTATGCAAGTTGTAAATAGCAACACTGCCTAACTTAGGCTGGGTTCACACCTGGGCGTTTTTCAGCGCTGATCGAATCTCTGAAAAACGCTCAGCAAGTGAAATCCCATAATTTCCTATGGGCATGGTTCCCACCTGAGCGTATTTCAGCGCTGAAAAACGCCCTAGAGCCCAATATCCTATATAATTATAATAATAATACTTACTTATGAGAGTCATTATAGCTTCTTAGCCATTTCCAGTTTGACAATGGATAACCCCATGATTGGCATGTGATGTGTTCCATTTTGGATATTTTACATTCCACCTTGGGTTTTTCTAGTAAAAGTAAAAAAAAAGTTGATTCCATTTTATGTTATGCAATGCTTAATCTAATTTAAGTTTACCACGTACAGGATAGATCTAGATCTAGATCTGGTCAGGACTTATGGACTGTGGCTGTATCTAAAATATTGCAGGTTTTTGTGTGTATCTGAGCCTTGCAACAGAACTACCAACTAAAAATATACCTTCAATCATCTATATATTTACAGAAGAACGCTTCTAAGCAATATTTGCATGTAAGAAACATAGAAGAGTTATGGCAAAAAAAGACCAAGTGGCCTATGGAGTCTGCAATTTTGTTTTTTTGTTTCAGCTTTACGAAAGCATTTAGTCATGCAGAGGTGCCAGTGTTTAGCAGCTGTCCTATGATGTAGGTCATCTTATCTTATTACTTATTACTCCATGAGCTGTGTCCTTTTATTATTAGTACCTTTTTCAAACAACTCTTTTATGTTTTAAAACATAGTTACTCCATGTTTTATATATGAAGTTTTTTTTATTACAACTTTAAACTGTTATAATGATTATTTTATAAAATGATGAATAACATGATAAATAACCCCCTGGACACATTCGAATTACACTCTTTGGTATGCTCAAAATTGATACTGATGTTGTGGGGATATTAATTTGAGAGCTCCATCAGGGGACCAGAGTGAATGTGTATGGTTCTATGTACTTTGCACATAGCTGTTGAATATTTTGGAATCTTAATAATGAATAATATAAATTAAAACTCACGGAGTAAATTCACAGTGAAGGTTTTCTTCAGCTGGACATCATCATTGTCTATGAAGAATACAACAGAGTCACCAGGCTCATAAGTATGGCTGCAGTATTTAGATGTGCTGTAAAGAAACACAAAACCAAAACATTAACATTGGAATAGTATGTTTCTTCAATTTAAGTAGTAATCTTCAAGATATATCTGCAAGGAAGGACACCTCAATCACCCTTCTCATTCTTTTTAATGGGACTGTGTAAGTGAAATGCTCTGAAAACCAATCTAGAAACCAACCTAAAGACTTACTCTTTGTTATCATTCTGATGAAAGAATTGCCTTTACACCCATTAATGTAGACTGTTGATATTATAAAAGAGTAAAACCGTTAACATTAAAGTTAAGAAAAACCTTCCGTGTATGGTCAAGTGCAAGAAGACTTACAATATGCGGGGCAGACAGAGCAGGGAATCATGGAGTGGTGGTGTTTTAAGAGCATAGGCTTATTCTTTGGAGGTGGTCTGTAGCACCCACCACTTGGGTGCAACCCCCACCCTACAAGTTTGGTGTGGTTGGACCACCTCTTACATGTCTATCATGAAAGTGTCAGAAACCACCTGCTACTACACGGGGTCCCGTTTTCCATACCACATGTGCGTGCGACACGGTACAGCCTCAGGAAGTGACGCTGTTTCCTAATGGATCACACTATTTAAACTGGCCTGCCTGACTCCAAGTTGCTAGATTGTCTTTCAGGTTACCTGTAATCCTGTGCTTCCAATTGATCTTGAAAGAAAACATTTCTGCGCTACTGGAAATTAGTTAAATAATACCAATAGGTCCAATTGATCTTGCCTGACTTCTGACCCAGAATATCCTTAACTATGTTGATTGCTGCCTGCCCCTGACCTCTTGCTTGTTTACTGCATCTGCCTCTGTCTCCTGCCCTTGTACCTCGCTGACCATCTGGTGCGACCCTTGGCTTGTTTGACCTCAATCTTGGATTCTGCTCTACTCCATGCTGCCTGCCTGGTTGACTTCAGCTCTGCTTGACCTGACCCAGTGCCTGGACTATGCATATAATTGTTCCCAGTCACTAAAAGAAAATCAGAGAAAATGATCAGTATAACAGCTATGAAACCTTCTATTTCTGAAGAAGTCAGCAATGGCACCCTACTTATTTCACTCATGGCAGTTTTTCTCTAAAACAGAAGTCAAGACACCTTCATCTATAAAACAAGAAAAAGATTGTGAAAGTACCATAAAACTCTCTTCTAAAATCAGGTCACATGATCTGGCTGCCCTTCCTAATATTTTAAAAGATGTATTCTAGGAGTAGGTATTGCTACAGATACACTAGTTGGTAGCTAGACAGTGAAAGGAGACGTGCTCTGCAAAACATTGAATAGGCAGTATACAGGGAGGTCCCAAACTATCACTTTATGGACAGAGTCAAATGTGAGAAAGCTCTGATGTCACTGGAGGTTCCCTGTTGGCACCAGATCAGAATCAGCAGAATTGCTGTAATTTTATTGTGGTGCCAGCTCTGCAGCCCAATGAGAACTCTAGATCTAGACCAAGATTAAGTGCCTGATATATATCAAGATCACAATTTCTGGGACAGGACGTGAGCAGAAACAACAAGTAATAAAGGTTCTAACACTTCCCTGACCTATCTGTTAAAGCACAAAATTGTGCTGTTGCTAAACCGGAATACTGCGTGTAAATAACAAATATGTTCAGGATCAAGTGGAAAGTCATTTAAATATTATCAGAGAAATATTTTTACAGCTATGGACGCACACAAAGAAACATACACATATCATAGTTTGTTAGTGCATACCTTCTTCCATTCTCTTCAGTGATAACAGCACATTTTGAGGGTTTAGACTGATGAAACCATGCACATCTTCCAGGAGGAAATGCTTTAAACTCTGCAATAAAACAATGTTCTTCCCGGCTGTCTACATCCTGCTCTTCACTTGTTATGTTCATGTCAATAATCCCTTTATCTAAATTGGTATAAGAAAAGCACATTATTTATATAGTTGTAGTTTATATTACTGAAGGTGTGACATTTCAGCTACTGTGTGGGCTGTCAAGGCTGACTCATACATGGGTATGTGCCATATAATACATTAATGACAGATAAGAATTGTAATAATCATGTTTGTTTAATCAATTTGTTTAATCAAAAAACAAAGTAGAGAAGACTGAACACTTATTTTTTTTGAAAATGTATGATAGCCCATATAATGCTAATAATGAAAGCTAATCTCAAGGCAAATATTGAAAAACAGCATTTAACCCAGCTATTTGTAGATTACAAATCATAAAATATATGTTAGTATATACAACTAGTACTTGTGTCTGATACTGTTTTTAATCAGAGTCCTGTAAATCCGCTGCACAGAAGCACTCAGACTGGGGGGGGGGGCAGCACTCTGAGCTAATTAGGGATCTGTAGCTTTGCACAGTGCTTGACAATGGACATGCTTACTGGTGGTGAGAAAACAAGGATGACCATATTAATGTGCTGATGCTCCTTCATTGTTCAATCAACAAGCTGGGGCAGGAGAAGTTCTATTGGAAACACAAGTTCAGCAGCCATTTTTTCCTACCGTCGCCTATGTAATACAGTAGATGGTTGTGTACCATTACTATATATGATATATATGTACAGTATATATAGACAGCATATAACTGAGATGTGTAGATAATAATTTCTGCACTATATTCTACTCTAGCATGCAGATAAGCCCTTCTTACAAATTACAGAGTTGATAGAAGGCCAGTCTAGGCTACTAGGACTATTGGATACGAAAGCTCCGCCTATTATATTCTTTATAGCATTTACATAATTGATTTGCACTAGTGTATACTCTGACAATATAGTAGTTTTACATACATTTTCTTTATTTATTAAGGCCAGGACTAAAATAATATACTGAAAACATTTCATAACATTTCTTTGTCAGGTAAATATGAAATATTACCCATTACTAATTTATATTTAATTCAGGAAGCCGAGCTTTAGGCTCCCTTTTAAATGCTTTTCTGTCTGCTTTTTTGTTGAGAAAAAGTCTGTTTAGAGAGTTTAGCAGCTTAAGCTAAAGTTCACACAAATACATCTAATCAACGACAACTATTTATTTAGTGACTATACTAAATCAGCCAACCTTCCAATGAAAACAACCTTGAAAGAAAAATGACATTGATGAAAATCCACTTTAGGTAGCCCTCCTCCCCCTCCCGGTATAGTAAGGCTCTCGTTTAGTCTAGGGGGAATATAATAGACAGATTTACTTATTTTATTCTTGGTCCCACAGGCTTACTCCTCATTGGATGACCATTCCCAGAAAGGAATCAGGACAACAAAGGCCTGCCTACATTCTGGGGCTGGAACGGGAGCGTGGTAAAGTGCCAGGTGCCTTGGGAAGGAGAAGTAGGGTGAGAATTTCCCCTGAACTTAACGAGAATTAGAGCCCCACTAGACTCCAAAAGGGAATTTTTATCAGGTTAGGGGAGTTCAGCTTTAAATGGAACTCCTCCTGAAGGAACATACGTGTGGGAAGCAATTACGTTGTGACTTTTCGCCAGCCTCATTCAAGTCCAGAGACAGTGAAACTGAAATTGTCTGGTACAGTCAGAGGTTTCTCATACAGGTTTCCTTCTGGACAGATTAGTTGAAAGTGTTATCTTGAAATAGTTCATATTCCTACCAAAGAGTGTAAGCAGTACGGTTTTGTTTCCATGAACATTTGATAAGCAGTTGATGGATGTATTGCTTCCTCCTTTCATCTTTGCAGTTGATGCAAATAACACTTTTATCATTTCATTTTTATTATTATAGCAGTTTTCTTCATTCCACTGCATCTGTATAGATAAAAATGATCTGTTATGGGTAATCACATGCTGTAGTCATAACGCCAACATAAAATCTGATAAGAAACACATTTTTTATATTTCCCATAGTCTTTCCTTCCTTCTGGAGGGTGCCTTCTTTTGTTCCTCATGGTCCCTATGTGTGTTGTAACGTAGCCACTGCTATAAAATTCGCTCCCATGATAAACTTCAATCTCAATACAAATTAGGGAAACTGAATGTGACATTAAAGTCCATCACGGCAGTGAGCTTGGAGCGGTGGCTACTTTACAAAACACACAGGGACATGGGGAACACAAGTAGCCACCCTCCAGAAGGAAGGACAGTGTCAGCACCAATTCAGAGATGATTTGAGGATCTACAGCCGAGTGACACACAAATCAGATACATTTTCATTAATAGTTGGGGTACCTGAATGCATTTTTAAGATTTAAGTCCTGAGTTTAGTGATACTTTGAATACCCTCCATAGTTTGAGATAATGTCATGTCCTGGAATTTATATTAACTGCTCTCACATTCCAAGGAAAGCAGGTAAACATTTTAATTGGTCATATGTAGCAATTTCATCAATCCTTCCATGTAAAGCTATATTCTGATTTTTAAATAAAGGGTTATTAAACCCTTGCATGTTTTTGCATATATCTACTGCTATTAAGCAGTAAATATATGCAAAATGATTTTTAAACAACAACAACTTTTTTAAAGGGTTAATACTTACCTGTGTCTCCGCCGTGCACTTCCGTCCGAACATCTGAAAATTTTTCAGGCGGCCGCAAAGGATCTTAGGGCGGGCGCATTGCAGAGTTCAGATGTTCGGCCGGGAGACACATAACATAATAATCCCCCCGTTCCCTGCCCTCCCACACATAGCATAATAATCCCCCGTTCCCTGCCCCTCACACATAACATAATAATCCCTCCCTGTTCCCTTCCCCCCACACATAACATAATAATCCCTGCTGTTCCCTGCCCCCCACACATAACATAATAATCCTTCCACTCGCCAAAATGCGAGCAGGCGAGTGGAAATTTTGAGCCCTGATATATGAATCTTTATATGTACAATAAAACTAGTAGAGTAAGAATAAGTATAGAGAGAAGTAATACCCTTTATTGGCTAACTATAGAATAAAGCACATCCTCATTTGCCTTTAATGTAAGAAGTTATGAACTTTCTCATTTGAAAAGGACATTTCTTTAATCATACTACAGAAATTGTCAGTCTTTGCATTTCACATTTAAACTGCTCTTACTGCAAATAATTATTTTACCGATGCCACGTAACACTCGTATAGTTCAATCACACAAGTGTACTCAGTAGGGATGCACCGATACCGGTATTTTGGTACCGAGTACGAGTACCGATAATTTTTTTTTTAAGGTACTTGACGATACCAATTACCGAGTACCGGAAGTCCCATTCCAGAAGCCAGGTGGCATGTAATGACTCGCCACCGTGCTTTCTGATTAGCCGGGAAGCCGGGCAGCGTGTAAAGACTCGCCACCCGGCTTTCCGATTAACAAGAAAGCCGTCCCACCCTGTCCCCTCTCACCTCGGCATGTCCAGCCTGCACCCGCAGGGCCTCTCCAACCAGAAGCGGTCTTTCTCCGGTACCCAGCCGGAGCCGTCTTGCTGGACAATCATGGAAGCCCGCGCCATGTAATGATGCAGCGCCCTACTTTCTGATTGGCCGGGAGGCCGGCTCGATACTCCCTCGTCATGAGATGACGAGGGAGCATGAACTAATGACAACTAAGGTTGTGACAACAAGAAGCAGAGCTAACGTCAGAGTGGATGGTAAAGACATAGAAAAGGTAGTATACTGACTTTGCTGACAACTTCCCTGCTGCCTGTCCTTGACACATACTTCAAGTTAAGATCAATGACACATATTGTCACAGTTACCACAGAGAGAGTTAGCCAGGGGGCCCTAAAGTTTTGCCATGGGGCCCCATGATTTGTAGTTATGCCCCTGATAGTGACAGTACTCCCTGCTGTATGGAATCGGGGGGGGGGGGGGGGGGGCCGGG